TGACCATCGAAGTGGAAAATGTAACAACATTAAATACTCATGGTAATTATGGGACCACTTTATTGCCCACCGTGTTTTACAACAAAACAAGTAAATATTATTAAATTTTATAAATATTATTTCTATTTATTAATTAATTATTATTAACTTACTATTTACTAGATAATAACGTTAAACATGAAACAAATATAAATGATACATTAATTGATTTACCAAGTAACAACACTTCCTGTACCAAAAACAAGATCATTTTATCGGACATTAGGAACAATACAAGTATAGCTGTCAACCGGGCTTTTGCTGATATTATTGACCTGAGGTCAAAGGCCATATACACGACTCGTTATATCACCGCTATTAACAAACAAATAACGGTGGCAAAAACGTACTTGGTCAAAGTTAATGAAATGTTTAATGAGATCAAAACGCAACTTAAAGATGAGCTAAATAAACATTTGCAATTATTAACCAACATTAATGATACTGTGGTTGTCAATGATGATGGTAAAAAGTATGTGGAAAATGAGCTATATACACTGGACGAGATGTTCACCGAGATAGATTTGCTGTGGCTGTCTAAACAAACATTTTGCCATTTTTCCAACCGAGTGAGACCAGCCCTGAGCGCCCGGAGGCACTGGATCCCAGTGCTAAAAGCTATGAAATAAAGCTTATGGTAAATAATGTGAGAAATATGACAAAGTTTGCAATAAATAAAGCTAAAAACGAGATAAAAATGTTGAGACGAGACGCAAAACTCGCGTTAACACGTGTTAAGTCATTGGACGCGCAAATCATGAGCTATAAGTCATATCAACGCGCGTTAAAAGATGCGTTTTTATTGACCATGGCTGATTTGCGGTATAGATTAGATAAACAACATGTTATATTGAAATCAATATTTAATACTACTTGTGCAAATGACCATGATAATTATTATGTTTACGAGCATGAATTAACAATAATGAATAATTGGTTACTAATGGTCGATGATATGGAGATGAATATAATGATGTGGGGTGTGTCCGATGGTTTTATGTTATATAATTGTCCCAGCGCTTATGGCAGAGGTGATGGATATGGCAAACATATTCTTACATAAATTATTGCAATTTGTTATTTTGTTTTAAAAAGATTAAATACTATATTAATTAATATTATATTTAGTGAAATTAGTAATTGTTTTTTGTTCTGGTTAACAATGTATGACAAAATTATATTTCTGTAATTTTAGGATATTTAGTATAATAACTGTAGCAAATAATATCTCTTTAACGTGGTATTAATTTTATTTATTTATCATTAATTTTTGGGTTCTGTGATCACTTCACGTGTATTTAACTTTTAAACCTAAAAATAGTATTTGTTTTTATTTAATTTTGAATTGATCAATATTAAAAATATAATAATAACTTATTATACAAGAGTATTATCCCAATTAAAAATTAAAAACTTTATTACAATTGTCTAATTATTTATTTATAAGTTAGTTTACATAAATTATAAGTTAGCATAAATTAGGTATAAACTGAAGAGCAAGGGCAAAAATGGAAGTCACTTTTACACAATTTATGCGGTCGTGAGTCAACCCAAATGCCGATCACATTCGGGCAACGCATACCACTGGTAGACTTGTCCATCACTTTTCCGTCAATTTTGACATTTTCACTAAAATTGTTTTTTAAATAATTTTTTCTACATTTCATTTTTTGATAAAATAATCGATTTTAATGTCTTAGAAGTTATGTATTTCTTTAAAAGTACATGCGTTGCCCAAATGTGATAAATTATATTATTTAGCCAGTACAGTCAGAACTCTGCGTTGTGAACCAGATCGGGTCCAGGGCTTTTTGTTCATAACATAGAGGTGTTCACAAGATAAAGGGTAGATATAAATCTATTAAAAATGCATTTATCATTTTAAAATTACATATAATTTATTGTTTAGGATAATAATGGGATATTTTATATTGTTTTAGTGCTTTAAAAGTTTTTTCAAATATTAATACTGTTTTATATTTCATTCAAATCATCATTAACTAAGTTGACATCCAATCGCTAATATGCTTGACATTATGTTTAATGAGTTGCACATTGATTCACAGGATAGAGGGTGTTATACTATGAAATGATATAAATTCTGAGTAAATGTGTTCATAACATAGAGTTTTCATAACATAGAGGGTTAAAAGCATAGAATATTTACAGCATAGAGCTCTGATTGTATGTCCCATCGTACAACCTTGATTAGTAATACAATTATATGATATACACATTAAACAAAGGTTTACAGGTTATAAAACTTTTAATTACTATGTAATTTGTCTTAAGAATTTGTTTTTAGGAAATGTAATGTATTAATTAATCAGAATTTTATGTATGTTTCTTAAGTTTTCTTAATGTTAATTAAAATTTTTTATTTATTCCTAGTATTGATTTTATTTATTTATTTTTAATTTTCTGGTTAAATAATCATTTCATATAAATTTAACTTTTGAATCAAATAATAGTATATGTTTTTATTTGATTTTAAATTAATCAATATTAATAATAATAATAATAATAGTTTATTGAATTTAAAAACATGTTTTAAACAAATACATTAGTATTAATATAATAAATTGATTTCCTTTACAAATTGATTATAATTTTCAATACATCTTATATTTTTGGGTAAATTATTATACAATTTTGATGAATAAATAAAAATAATGTAAGTATTGAGAATATACTGTATAAATATAACAATGTTAGTACAGATAGGGTAAATATTTCTGTGCTTGAAATTTGATTTAATAACTAATAAATATTATTTTCAATTGTGATTATTAGTTAACAATAAATTATTTTAAGTATAAAATAAATTTTTAATTTTTCCGAGAAAATAATGTAATTTTATGAAAAAATATATTTAGATTTTACATTAAGATTAATTTACTTCAATTCCATAAAACCATTTCACTTAATCTATGCAAAAGCTTTTATGTAAATGCAAATAGTTCCCAAAATTTTAATTTTTTGTTTTAATTAACATAAATGTAATATGTAATGAATTAAATAAAATATATTAAAACACATTAATTTTTTAGACCATTTTATTATCTAAAATAAAAGAATTTTTAAGTTAAAAATTTCAATAAATTATTTTATGATAGAAAAATTTGCATAACGTTATTTAATAAATTAAATAATTATATATAAGTTGTATAATTATATGTCTTGATTTATTAATTATATTTTGATTTACGCAGTCATTAATAAATTAACGTATTATTCAGTATTATTTATTATAATTGTACATTTATTATTAGACTATATTAAGTTATACTTATAAACAACTCAGCATGACTAGATTGATAATAAACGTTATGATATTAATACTTTTGTTAATTATTGCGTTATGTTTAATTGGTTTACTTGAAACACGTCCCACATATAATGAATTAACAACCACTGCGACTTTAAACCCCGAAGTTGAACAATTAACTACAATAAATACAATTGATGATGATACAACTGAGTTGGAAAACGAACCAGGTAACATGTTAAACATGATAAACATTAATTAAAATAATTAATATAACAATTATATTACAGAATACAATGATTACGAAGAAATAAATAAAAACGATACGTTAATTAATATACAAAACTCGGTTTACGATATCATAACCCATACAACGGATCATATGCTGGACCTGAAGGCAAAGGCGGACAACACATACTATACAATAAAGGCATTGGAGGGCGAGTTGTCTCAACACAACTCAAATGTCCAAAAATTAAAATCAAAGTTTTCAGTCGTTAAGGAAGTGCTTAGGGATGAAGTGATGCGACAAAAGCAGACACTGACTGAACGTATGGACAATACCACAGATGAAAACATGTCTGTATTGAGAGATGAAATCAATATTATTGACGAGATTGAGACGGAAGTGATTGGTATGGCTTTGATTAGGAGTTTTTCCAACAGTTTTTGCCACAAATTGTTTGATAGATCGGAAGAGGAGGTCCGGCCAGTTGTCGACTCGGATGGTCTAACATTTCAATATAGGACACTACTGTTTAGAGTGAGGAATAAAGTAAAAATAGCTGTAAATAACACAATACGTGATGTAAAGACACTTAAACATAAGGCAAAACAGGTATTAACACGTGTTAAGTCATTAGACGCGCAGATTATTAGTCTGAAGGCCTATCAGAGACTCATTAAAGAGATGTTTATTTCGCAGATTTTTGTGTTAAAATTTGAGTTAAATAAACAAAAAGATAAAATACTAATGCATTTAGAGAGCGCTGATAATAATGAACAGAATATACTGTTTGAAAACGAGTTAAATTTAATCAAAGATTATTTATGGCGAGCCAATGACCTGGAGCTACAGGCGCTGGACTGGGGTGTTAACGATGATTATACGTTTGGTTTCTGTCCAGCATTATTAATATATGGTCGTGGTGATGGTTATGGTAAACATATTATTATGTAAATTAAAATAACCAAATTCTAAATTGATGGAAGAATCTATAATCTTCTAATAAACATATAATCTGTTATATTTTACCATAATTTTAAATATATTAAATTTATTGTTAATAATAATATTTATGCAAACAATTAAAATTGATGTTATAAGTTTGATCTACATTTAAGTAATTTATTATACAGAATAAAATATTAAACTATTTAAATACTTATATTTATTAATGGATAATTATTGTAATAATAAATTATTAAACTTATTATCGATGGTTTTATATAATTTTACAGATTATCCTGATTGATTTAATTTACAAAATTAAACTTCATTCTTCAACAAGCCAATGTTTTACTTTAATTGTTGGCAAAGTTAAATTATATTATATTCATGTAAATGTTTACAGTTTTTAATACTTGTAAATGTTGTTGTATTTTAATATTAAAGTTAAGATAAAAATTATTTACTTTAAAATTTATTATTGTTTTTGTTGATTTTAACAATTAAAGTTTAATACATTTTATAATGTATAGTTTTTAAAATAATTTTACAAATTATTCTCATTGATTTAATTTAAGTAAAAATTAACAGGTCTTGTTGTTCCAATGTTTAACATTAGTTATTAGCAAAGTTATATTATAATATAGTCATGTAAATGTTTACAGTTTTTAAAATATGTTTAACTATTATATTAAAACTAAAAATTAATTGATTAAAAATGTATAATTAATTTTTATTGATTATAATAATTATTGTTATTAAAAATCAATGGTTATATTATACTGTATTTTAGTAGATTAATAATTTAATTAAATATATAATTAATATAACACATTCACATTATAACAATTGAAACATATAAAATTATTATGTAATCATATATTTGTTTGGGAAAGTCCACTAATGATATTATCTAGTAAAATTTATAAGGAAAAAATATGTTTTATTATGGTAATTTATATAATAGATACATGTTATGTTAGAATTATGTTATCGCTCATTGTAATTGTAATTTAAAATTTGAGTTGGTGAAAATATTTTATCATTTATCAGACATAAAAACTATCAATATGAATCAATTACTTATAAATATAACTGTTATTTTATTTATTTGTGTTGAATTTGAAACAGTTATGATTAAAAGCAATAAAACTTTACCTGCAAACAATCAAGGTAATTAAAATTATATTTAACAATTTAACTATAAAATAAATAAAATTATTTGTCATAGATCTGCAAACCAGTCATAAAAATCATATATTACTTGACATACAACACGGCATTCAGGAGACAATCAACAAAACCGATGATCGCATGAAAGACATGAAACAAAAAGCGGACAATACTTACGACACCATAAAGGCATTGGAGGGCGAGTTGTCTCAACACAATGCAAATGTCCATAAATTAAAAACAAAGTTCGCAAACGTTATGGAAGTGTTTAGGGATGAGGGGGAGAGAAAGAGGCAGATACTGACCGATCGGATGGACAACACCACCGGTGAAGACACCCCTGCATTGGAGGCTGAGATCGAGATAATGAATGACATATTGTTTGAATCACTAAATCTGGACCTAATTAGGAGTCTTAGCGAAACGTATTGTAAGTTACCGTTTATTGTAGAGAAGGCTGAGCCCCGACCGGTGCTGGACTCGGGTGTTCTCACATCTAATACTATGGTATTGATAGCCGAGGCCAGGATTAAGGTAGAAATGGCCATAAATCATACGATACATGATACAAATATATTGAGAAATGAGGCAAAACACGCGTTAATAAGTGTGAAGTCATTGGACGCCCAGATTATGAATTTGAAGGCTTATCAGAGAGTTATTCAAGAGATGTTTATGTCGTATATTTTTGAGTTAAAATACGAGTTAAACAAACACAAAGATAAAATATTAATGCATTTAAAAATCACTTCCATAAATACTGATGATATTTTGTTTGAAAATGAGCTAGACAAATTAAATGTTTTATTAATACGAGCTGATGAACTAGAGCTACAAGTGCTGGACTGGGGTATGGAAAAGGATTATTGGTTAAACAGATTGTGTGCCGTCGGCCGCGGAGATGGCTATGGAAAACACATTATTACATAAATTACCATCATGAAGTAAATGTAATATATAATTATAGTTATAGTTATAGTCTCAAAAATATATTTAATAGTTTCATAATTTTATATTATTGTATTATTATTATTTTATTATATTGGGTCGTTTGACAATGTTCAGGCCTAACTGATTTCTAGTGTAGCTAAAATTATGATAATGGTATCATAATTTAAGTTAACATTCGTAGGCACTAGTTTCATTAAAATTGGTTGATTAGGCTTTATACTAGAAATTTTTCAAATGTGTCAGTCGAATATATTTTTACAGATTTGTACAAAAATATTTGGTAAAAAATTATTACAATTTTTAAGTTAAAATATTTTTGCAAAATACATGTTTAAAATGAATATTTGGTTATTGAAATTCACAATTAGTTATTCGACAATAGTTTTAAGAAGATTTCATAACATTAACCATTATGGAAATCAAATCCGAACCGACCGAACACAGGCCGCCAATCGGGTTGACTACCGATCAAAATTTGGTCACAGCTGGCGTACCGGTCAATGTTGGCCATTGAATAGCACATCATTAGATTCATTAAATATGGAAGATTTCAGAAGAGTAAGGGTTTTGTATTATCTGTATTATTGTTTAAGCATGATAAATCTTAGTCTAAAATTACACGTCAATAAATACCGAAATAGTCACTCTCCCATAGGAATGCATTATTTTGGCAGGTGTCACATAAAATATTCCTGTGCCATAACTATTGATGCGAATTTTATGAAACTTGGTTTCTGGTCTATAAGAATATTAACTTAAATTATGATACCATTATCATAATTTTAGCTACACTAGAAATCAGTTAGGCCTGAACATTGTCAAATGACCTAATATATACTTTTTAGAAATTAATGAATTATTTTTATCATAAATTATGTATATAATTATTTAACAATTCTTAATAGTTATATTTTATTTTTAGTGCTATTATGGTGTATAATGGTATATTATTATTTAGGTAATTCCACATGGTAATTCCAAATTGATATCTTATTTTCATTGTTATGTAATCATATTTAAATATCTATAAATGATATGCTGGGTTAAATAAGGAAATAAATTACAATTTGATAACATTATAATATTATTAATAACATTATTAATTTTATTCAAGTTTAGTTAAATTGTGGTTTTGGCAAGAGTTAATTTAAAGATTTTTAAGTATAGTTATATACAGGCCATTCTAAAATAGAGAGGGGCTTTTATTACTTGAACGTGATTAATGTTTGACCTTGGTAATTTTTATATATTACTCACTATAAATGTGAATAGTGTATGAATAATGTGCACTATTCTTTATAAATTTGCCCTACGTTGGCCCTAGGTTGGAATGCTGTGGTTATATATAATATATTTTAAAACCATTAATTATTTACAATGAAGTATTTTATATATTATTATATTTATATATTATGTTGTATAATTAATTTTAACATAACATAGCCGGCAAACCCAAAAATATTAATTTTATTTAAAATAGTTTATTTTATTTTGACTTATAAATTAACCTACAGTTTTGATAAAATAATATTTAATACATTTACAGACAATTTATCTAATTAATAAAATATAATTTTAAGAGTTAATAAACTAAATCATTTAATTCTAAAATTAAATTATTCTTACAAGTTAATCAACTAACGTAGTATTTCTTAACATTATTCAATAATTAATTAATAGTAATAATTACTTAAATGAGAAACATAATTAATTTTGCATATAAAATAACAATCTTAATTAAAGTTTTAATTTAATTTAATCTTTGCAAATATTAATATTAAAATAAATCGTGATAAGTAATATTATTTAATACATTAAAAATAAATTGAATTAGTTAAAATAATACAAATGTACATGTTAACACTAGTTTATATCAAAAGTATAAATTATTATTAGAAACTGTCACTAATTGCGCAAAATACACTAGTCTAAATTAAATAAGAATTGTTAACAGAAATATTGGTTGTGGTTAAAGTTAAGAAACTAATTTTTGGTAGTAATTTTATTTAATCAATTACTAAAAGCCAATAACTTATGTTTTAATTACATTTTTGGCATCATTGCCAACTTTGCCGACACCCATAACCCCCTCCCCATCGGCACAATAGCCAACAACCCGTGAATCCCAATCCAACCTCCAGTCCAGCGCCAGAAACTGCATGACATCGAGTCGTGACAACAGTACTGATAATGTCATCAACTCTTTCACATATACATCTAATTACTATCATCTAACTGTAATAAATATTATAATATAATTTAAATTAATATTCTTTATAAAAATAATTCTACTTCAGGGAAATCTCCAACTATATGTTTCTTACAATAAATATTTTGCATAAACAATACCTACAGTACCTATTTTTTCTATCTGCCCATATAAACCGTTTAATAACTTTTGAACGGATTATCATATTTTGATCCCGTCTTCACCATAATATAGAACAACGATTCCGATTACTAAATCTGAAGAGACATTTCAAATATTTTTATTTTCTACCGAGATAATTAAGTTCAACGAATTATTTGAGAATTTTTACATAGACATAATGTTAAATTTAAAAAAATTCAAACTCAGTTTTGATGGAAAATGTCAAACAAGTTTTAAGTAATTTTTAATGCTGAGTCGGAATATGATACTAAAAAGTTTGTATCTTGAATATTTTTCAAATTATTTGATATATAAATATTACAATAATTTTTAAAGTCGAAAAATTCAAAAAGTACCAACTCTAATTTAAAACAAATTTGATAATATTAACAAACAACAAACAATATGTTGCTTTGATTTAATAAATCTTACAATTGTGTATT